ATTTACAAAGTAAAGTAAGATAAAGATCAAAAGCATCTTGGATCCATTGGGCACAAAAAAAAAGTATCCAGAAATTTATTTAAAATCTTTATTTAAGAAAACCAGAACAATAGTATAACACAACGGTAGACTGCGAAGACTTCAACTAACGTGACATATGTATAATCTATCAAGACGGTCGAGACTTGATTTACAGAAACTGGAAAGAAGGGAAGACAAAATTAAGATAATTTAACATTTTCTGCATAATGAACAACATCTGATCAAACCACGTCACTCTATTATAGAAATGTAAGAACTAACATGCAAACATCACGTATGTACCAAATAGTTTTTTTAGGCAGTATAAGAATAAAAAAAGTTATTTATGTATCAAGCTCACTAACAGAGAGATGTAAATGTATATATTTAGTAAGCAGTAAATTGAAAATAGCAATATTATAAAGTGCAGATCACTTACACCCTAAAAAAGTTGTATACGAAAGTAGTACCAAAGAGGTGGACATATATAAAGAGGTGGACATATGTAGCAAATACTTCTATTGTGTTGTAGGTATAACACTATAAAAGGACTATACATACCAACAATGAAGTAAAGCCCAAATACTTCTATTGTGCTGTATAACACAATAAAAGGACTATACATACAATGAAGTCCAATAAGTAAAGCCCTCAAATGCGTATGTTTAGTACGGGGTAGATTGTAGATAACAAGTATAAAGTGATTAGCCAACTTAATTCTATTAGACCCTAAAAAATGAGTCCATTGTGGCATCATAGATTGGCAAATAATTTAATGTAGTTTAGTTAAGTTTTGGAATAAAAATATTTTTTAACATATATGGAAAATATAAATTGCAGCTTAACTATTTCGATGATTTGTTCTTTTTGATATTTAAAACAAGTCAAAATATAGTGATATTTTATAGAATATTAGCATCACTTTATTACTATAATTACCTCTATTTCATATTTTTGTTATACATACAAAAAATTTGATAAGAAAGTAAAGTAAATGATTGAGTCATAAACACTTCGAAACTGGGAACAGAGATAACGAATAATTATTTGGAGAGGGTAGAGCAATTGTACATCTGAACATTTATTTAGAGATTAAACCATACTTTATACAGATGTTCACAATTTCTAATGTGACTTCCCTACCTAAAATTTTTTTTTTTGTTTTTTTGTTTATACATTAATTTTTTATAGAAAAAGAATACTTGAAGAGTTTGAATACTTTAAACTACGATGTTCATGATATAAATTAAGTTGTTAGTTAATAGAGTAAGACACTATGGGAAAACAAGCAAAATGTAGTTAAAAATACTTTTCACACTGTTATACTTTTAATTAAGATAATTTCTATTACAATACTCTATTATTATAATCTATTAAAATACTAAATACTGTAGCATAATTTAGAAACCTTTGGAAGTAAGCGATATTTTCCATATTAACAGATAGACGGACAGACGCATACCGCTAAATCGCTTTATTATATTTATTATTATATACGCTTATAGTGGCCTATATGTATATTAATAATCTTAATATACCCATTCCAATTGGAAAATGATGTATCTATCACTGAAAATGTCTTAAAGATATAAAAACATACCTGAAGATCAGTAGATCAAAATGTTTTTTTAAAGGTATTTTCGAATATATTTATAACATTTCTTTAATTACGTTTTAAGTACATGTTTTGAAGATTGGACGTCCATATTCTAATAAGAATGTATACTAATAGCGTAGATGTTCTTTACTAATTTCTCTCTACTATGTATATATAATATGTGTATATTTGTGTATATTTGTGTAAATATTTAACCATAGATGCAGTCCTACGACAGACTTGAAGACTGACTGTTAAGCTATATATTTCTTTACGATAGTTAAAAGAATAGTATTAATTCTGTTAATTTTTAGGCACTCTTTAGCGATAACGAAAAGTCAAGTGCAGATTGATATATAGTAAAGTATATATAAAATAATTATTAAATATTTGCTTAATATAGCATAGAAGCAAATATATATCTACATATATATAAGTTTTGGATGTTGATATAATAGTTTAGTACTATCCGCACACAGTTTGCAGATTGTTCAAAAATGGATTGTGAAATTATATATTCATGTTGGAACGAAAGTGGTTCTGAGAAGTTTTAAAAATTGGAAACTTTTTCTTTCCGAAAGGATTTGCGATGCATAAATTGTAGACTATTTCAAATTTACAGGATTATAAAAATATCACTGTAAAAATTAATATACGAAAAAATAACCAAGAACTTTAATAGCTCTTAAATAAAGAGAGATATAACATATACATTTAAATATTACAATTTGTTCTTTAAATATATTTTTTATCAATACTGTGGATCACAAAAATCGGGGAATTATTGATTTCATTAAACTAAAATTCAAAAGATACTTATCAAGATCCAGCAATCAGTTTTCTACTATAGCCATTGGTAGCACCAATGAACCGCTTAATATTAGGTTATTTAAATAAAATTTTGCAACAACGTTTGAAATCGAGTAAATTAATTAAGACTTATTATTTTTGTATAGAAGTATCTGTAAATATAATCACAGCGATTACTTTTTAAATGAAATAAAGTTTTTCCAAAAATATTATAAATGAAATTACGTAGGTATAAGTCATTTATACTTTCAGTTATGTCATCGCATTTTGAACCCTTTTAGTAAATTAAAAGGGTCGCATCATCATATTAAGAAATACACTTCATTGAAATGCGGTTTGAAACTACTATTTTCGGATATTGTTTTTTACTTAATTCACTTGATGTTTTTTTTTTTTAATATTTTATGCTGTCAGCTCTGTACTACACAAAGATGGTTCTATAATTTCAATCTATCTCTCCGACAGCCTATAAAAGCATAAAAGACTTTATTTAGTATAGAGTTCAATATTAAAGGACTCACCTTATTGCGAAATGGATAAAGTTATAATCCGATATGAATTTTAGCTATTACAAATATTTGATACCTAAAGTATTGTTGTTATTGAAATATTGAAATACTGTTCAATACGAGATATGCTAAAACAATAATTGATGACAAACTCAAAAACTTAAACAGAACTACATTTTATTTTTCTCACTATGCGTATAATGTATATGGTTTACATATAAATTCAAGCTAAGTTTTGTAAGCTTCTTATAATCAGATATGAGCAGAATACAAATTAAGTTCCAGAAGACTAAAAATAAAATTGTTATTCACTCATAGAACTGAAATATTTCCTTCTAATGTTCATTAATAAATAAATCCAATATTACTATTAATATATGCAAATGCTGAAATCAATAGAACAAATTACATCGATTAAAATGCATAAAGTATTGCAAACGTGGGATTAAATATTCTGAACACGCATAAATAGACTTGCATTAAAACCCTTAACAGTATCTCATTTGGGTAAGAATAGAGTTTTTCTATTTATATACAATATTTTTTAAAATAAAATAAGGAAATACTAATGAAAGTTGGATAATGGAGTTTTTATCAACTTAAACTTCTCAACTTATGGTTTTATTGGTGAGGTGAAGGGTTTAACGGAAATGGAAAAATTAATTTTAAAATAAATAAATTATATTATCTGCACACTTCTTTGTGTTAAACGAAAATTATGTTAAATTTTTATTCTACAATGTTTTAAAAATATTACATTAAATAAAGAGTTTTTTCGTTATAATGGCAATGTTCCATTCCAATAGGTAGCGAGAACGGCATATATCCTATTAAATTTTCATATATAAATAATTTTTTGTTAAAACTGTGTTTTTTTGCTGTTGATAAACTGCATATCCACATTTGACAAAATTTGTGGTATTAAAAAACCAGTAAACACTTAACGTCACAGCTAAATTCAAAATTTGAGTCTACCTATTCATCTATTTAACGACGTAAAATTTGCAGAGTTGTGAAATGGAAGAATTTATGAATGTTTTGTCGAAATTAAAAATAGTTAATAAAATATCTACTTCCAGCGATTCATAGTTTTTTGGAGTTCCCAATATTTACAAATATAATATGTGAAATATACTCATCACGAACCCATAGCTTTTCGACGCGCCTCTAAAAAAATATACTATTATAATGAGCAGAATCTACTCTGTTGTTAGTAGCTTGTAGAGATCTTTATCTTTCTGGTGCCTACTAAAAAAATATACAAATATATACAGAGTATACTCATCTTAACGCGTAGAGATCGTTATCTTTTCGCTACCCTCACGAAAAGTATATGATAATATACAATGTAAAATATGATTATCAAGTACCCACTTGATAGGTTTTAGGCACCCACCAGAACGTATGTTAATGTTTTATTAATATTATATTAACAAACATTAAAATAGTATATAGACCATTCGTGCCCTTTTGCGTATGGCGCTCGGGTACTCATAGCTTTAAACCTAATCTTAATATCATTTATATAATATACTCATCATTTTGCGGCTTATTACAAATGACGCACGGAGCATAACAGATCCCCTAGCCACTATCTAAACTGATATAAATGTTTACCGATAATTACATGTACAGGGATTGCATATAAGATCCATAGTTTTATAGCAATCCCCCTGCCCCGAATAACATATATGAATATAATATATAAGTTATGCTCATCTTGTAAATAATTTTATGAGTTATTATAAGTGGCACAAGGGGCATAATAGATCCCCTAGCCAGTGTCTGAACTGATATAAAACTTAAGTTTTGTTTGAGTGCTATAATTTTATAGCATTCTCACAAGGATTTTTTGTCAGAGCTTGATTAATTACCAAGATCTCTCAGATGGATTCTGTATTACTTATGTTGCGGACAAGTGTTATTATATTATTTTATAAAATAAACCTTATATATATGTAATATTGTACATAATGAATACCATATAGGCAATAAGTAAAGTTCAGTAATTTTCAATCTATTTTAATTTCTTATAATTAATGCTATAGAAAATCTTAACTTACCCGATTGGACTCCAAGGCTGCGGCACTGTGCTCTTCACGTTGCCGAAAACAATGACTGCATTTCCGTTTATTGAAAATATTTGGTGAAAATTTACGACAATCGGAGGTGCGCGATGAAGAAGACATTTTGATAGTAGAAGGACAGGTAAATAAAGATGATACGTTTGTTCTTTTTTCTTACACACAGCAGATAATTTATACTTTAAAGTTAAGTTCTTTTTTTTTTTTAATATTTTTTCTTTTTTAATTAAACTTTTTCGGATGCACATAGGCAACGGCAACTCAGATAAAATGAGATCCGATTTTGAGAGCAGAACCGCATTTTTCTATTTTTGAAATATGCATTGTGGATACGGTGTTCCGATTCTTGCCCATTCTTGAAGCATTTTAGACGATATTTATTTCTTTTGCATGCTTTAATAAAAAACACATCGCTTTATCGCAATTTTGGTTTTGGTTTTTCAAATATAAACTTTATAATTTCTTTTTATATACATATTATTTTTATATAAATATTTTTAAAAATTTTTGTAAGAAATTATTTTGTTTGTTTTCTTTTTTTATTAATCATATATTAACATTTGTGTGCTGCTTATATATTAAAAGCCTTTCATATCTGTTAGTGTAATGTGATATTATCTATGAACTATAAACTCTATGGTTTAGCTTGTGTAATTTAAATATTTTTTGTTTTTGTTAAATATTTCTTTTTTTGTTTTGTTTTTTTTTTTGTTAAAAATTTTTGTTTTTGTACATCAAAATCAAAAACAAAGCATTTTTTAACACCTGAACTTAAATCAAAAACTGTGTGCATACAATCACATGCATTTGTTTATAGCACTTTTATGAGTAGTGTTTGTGTATGCGTGTTTGTGTGTGTGTGTGTTAGGAGCTTAAAGTGTTGGAATGCAGCAACAAATGCCTACTTCAAACCCAATAAAAATGCATGAATTTATGTCATTGGTTGGTTTTATGCAAATGGCTTCAAGTATAACATAAGCACATTTTTGAATTTTATTGCTACAAGAAAACATAAAAAAAAAATAAAATAAAAAATAAAACGAAGCATAAAAATAAAAAGCAAGAAATGAGAATACAGCATTAAGAAAAGGTAAAACCAAAGAATCTTAAACAAAAAAATAAAAACAAAACAGAAACTATAAAAAATTCGGTTGTAACGTTTTTTTTTGTTTTCCTCTTGTGTTTTGTGTTTTATCTTTTTGCTTGACACTGTTAACGTGGAGATTTAAATTTTATTTTTATTTTTATTTTTGTTTTTGATTTTGCTCTTCTCTTCAGTGCACGTAAAAATTGTTTATTTCTTTTGTTGAATTGATGCCATCCTTTTTATTTATATCTCTTTTTTTATTGTAAATTATAATAAACAATTTTTTTAATAAACAAAATTAAGAATTTATAACCGTTGGTGTATGCTACATTCCAGACAGAGTATTTTTTCAATTAAAAATAACAGAATAACAGTCACAAGAGGGCAACGACGGAGAGTAACCAAATAACAAAGCTCTTTGCGCAGACAAGGCTGCTGTGCCTTATAATAACGGCTTAAATTCATTTAAATTGGTGGATTTGACTCTTGGAATTTTTTTTTAAGTTTTTTTCTCCAATCATTATTTATTTTTTAACTTTAAATTCTTTTCATTCAACATTAACATATTCTTGCTTAACTTTGCGCACAAAACATTTTACAGAACTGAACATGCATACGTAAACATGTAGGCATGTTAAAGCATATCTATAATTTTTATCTACCTTTGCTTTAACACTGCACGCATAAGCACTGCCAAAATATTTCAAGCACTTCTTTAAAGTTTGTTTCGCACTATTATTTAATAAATCATATTTTTTTGTTTTATTAATATTCAATCATTTAATTATGTTATTTTACCGTTACCGTTCGTTTAAATTAATCGCTAAGGAAAATGATTTATTTATTAACCACACAAAACATCCACAACCGACTTCAATGCAAGTTGAAAACAAACTGAGAAACGCTAAAACGTTCGATTTGTATGAAGAAAACTTGTTATGGCTGTTGTGGGCACCGTCGCGACGGTGCTCTCGCTTCGGCAAACTCTCGCTTCTGTAAGCACAACAGCATTACACAAATTTACACAACATTGTGTCCGAACCTGTTATTTGCTCCATTGTTCGAAGTACTCATCTACTCATCTGTTCGCTGGCTCATTGTTTTGATTTGCTTTTTTTTGTCTCAATTTAATTATTACATAAAGAAAATGTAACTGTACGTACTAACACAAAACATTTTCTTCTTATCAAATTTAATCAAATAATGAATCTCTAAAGATTAGCGTAAATTAAATGCTCAAAAAAATAACGTTTGTTTGTAACTGTGTAGCACATAGCAGCCAATGTGTTTTGTTTGTATAATTTTGATATGGAGCTAATAATACTCCTAATAACTTTGGCACAGAACCTGTTGTAGGTTGCACTTCGAACATGTTGGAATAACTAAAATGTCATTAGAAGTGGTGATTATCTTGAAAGAAAGGAGGGAGTATCAAACACATGTTTGTACGCACATATGTAAGCAGTGCATTTCTTTTTTTTTTTTTTTTGTTTTTTTGTTTATTAATTTCATATGCACAAAAATAATTATTATTATTATTATCACTTATGTGAGACAGAGACAAATAAATATTGTTGTTGTTGTGTATTGTTGTTGTAGAGCTCCAATCGCACACTCTTTGCACCAGGCACCATAAAACTTCATACGCACTACACACATTGATAACTAAAACAAGTGCGGAACCAAGTACGATGCTAGCCTAGACAACACAAAACAAAACCATTAGTTCCTAATAAAATACATATTTTTTTTTAACATTATTTAACATTTTTATTTATTTATTATTTAAATACTAACTCTAATTTACAAAAAAAAAAAAGTTGCAAGTCATAAGAAAGTGACACAAACTTGATTCGTTTGTGCTATCTGAGGTCTATATTATATAGAGCAGGGTTGTCCAGACCAGATACAATCGCTGGCCAATACAAATCAGTGTACAGATTGGAGGGTCGCAGAAACAAATACATACATATGTTCGTAGTTCTTTTCGACAAAAATAAAAATACGGTTATAATGTTAAATTTACTTTTTTAATTTATTAATTTAAATCAATTTATTTGGTATACCAAATAAATAAAATAATGTAGTTTTACCAGTAAACCAAAAGAAAATTTGCACAATTGTAGTAGATTAAAAACATATCGCAGGCCGCACAAACATCAGATGCGAGCCGCATGTGGCCCGCGGGTCGTTCTTTGGACAGCCCTGATATAGAGTGTCACAGGCACATCAAGATTTGTTCTTTGCGGCTATAGAAAATGTATGTTATGCATAGTGTTACATCAGTTTTTCAATTTCCTATTTTTACTATTAGTTTTGTACGTTTTGGTTGTACGTAAAAGGACATACATTTAAAGGACATACATACATACATACATACATACATACATACATACATACATACATACATACATACATACATACATACATACATACATACATACATACATTACATACATACAGGTACATACATACATACATACATACATACATACATACATACATACATATGGCAGATACATACAGTACGGCTATGACTGAGTGACGAGGCACAGATAGTCTCGGCTCTCATGACCAAATTTAAACTGGTATTTATCTTTCTCTCAGTTTCTCAGTCCTTAAAATTTACATTGAAAGCAACAATAATTTTAATTTTGACGTAGCCGTAAAACTTCACATACATGGGCCTTACACGTCTCTGCGTGAACAGATAATCAACCACGTTGAGTACTACATACATGTAATCTATCTAAATTCCAAAAGACATTCACATAATAAAAATTAAATACGTCCAAAGAGCACTGAAATTAATAAAAAATCTTGCCATACTTTCGCTGAAGAGAGACAAAATATCTCTGCAAAATACATTTTTAACTACTTTCACTGAAATAGAGTAAAAAAGGCATAACAAAGAGCGTAACAGAGAAATAAATACAACTAGCAATAAAAAAGTGTAAAAAGGAGCGCACGCACGCCATTATCTTTTCAAATAGTCTTTTCCTATATCAGCGTTACGACTTCTCATAATAATATTGAAGATCGTCGTAGAAAGATCAATTGAATAACTTCTTTTACTCAAATATTTGAAATAAAAAACGAGCAAAAAAAAAGGTACGCAGCTCAATTAGATAATCACTCTTCAAAATTCAGCGTAATGTCTTTTCATAATAGACTGTTCAGCACCATTAGAGAACACGCACATCTATAATTCTAACATTATCAATTATTGTACTTTCATTCAAATATCTGATATAAGAATAGAGCTAGTATTTATGTACATTCTTGGTTGTGCAGATAATCTCTCTTCCAAATTTTGCTTTCATAATTGTACTGGGAAGGGAACTACAAGTCTTCTTCAATTTTCGTCACACTTTAAAAATCTAAATAATTTTTTAAAGGCCTTAAAGATTTTTAGTTTATTTTTTTCTTTTTATTGTTGTGAGTATTAAGAAAAGAATAGTAGCGGAGTGGAACCAGTCACGAGAGTATTCAAGTTGGTGAAACATTAGTATTCACATATTTGACTAAATTGAAAACAACAAATATTAACTAAGGACAATAGCTTCGTCTTGCTCTATGACGATAAGAGGATTTTGAATTAAAAGCTTTTGTCTCCATCCAACACCAGGAAGTACTTAACAAGGGATATTGTATCCTGCCCTTCATTCGGTAGTTACTTTATCTAATGTTTGGTTAGGGACAACTGGAGTATAAAAGATCTGATGATAGCAGTACTACGCAATCTGTGATCTTTGTATCTTCTATTTAACAAAACGAAGAAAAAAATGGGTGTAATGATAGATTTGAAATAAATATGTTAAGTTAACCAATGTTGAAAATTTTTTGTTAATCTAGAACTATATCCGAATTCCATATTTAGGGATTTATACTTCAGTTTATTTTTTGTTGTAATATACTTTAATCCAGCATCTGAATTAGCTTGGAGATATTGAACTGTCCTGTATATACAATATATATATAAATCCACTATAAAGATAAGACGTAGCAATGCAATCGTTTTTATAATATTACATAGCACGCCAATTTCGATTTACAAAGTTTAAAGGGTTTAGATCCATTGCAAAAATTTCATACTGAAGTGTGGAATAAAAATGAAATTCCATTTCTTTTTTAATATGTACTATGTTTTATATATTGAAAGGTGTGGTATGAATTTATGTGATGAAAATATTTATCAAAAAAAATTTAACTGAAAGTGACAAGTTGCTTTGAAAACTATGACATAGAAAAGTATTTAACAACGAATAACAATTTACATAACTAATTAAGTGTAAATAAAAAACGTTTAATACATAATTTGTAAAAAAATATTAATTAAACAAATAAATTAATTAGGTAAATAATAATAACAGCTCGTGAATAATTAAAAAACGCTGTTATTTTCTTAATTAGAATGGTAATGTATATACTTAAAGATATTATATATATATATATATTGGCTTAGTAAGGTTGAAAGGTTGCAATAGCGGTCTTGTGCCAACTTGTGCTAAAATTCATCATTTTGTGATGTCACAGATTTGCACAGTTCGAAATAAAAACAGATAAATGTCCGAGAGGGCCGCAGTTGTCAGCGTACGGGCAACACCGAAACACATGACTCTCATATTCAAATTAAAATAAACCAATCTGAAATATTTATAAACTTGTCTTAATCAATTATTTTACAGGATGACAGCTCTCTCAGGTTAGTAAAAAAAGGAATCTCAAAGATTTTCAATCTTCTTTTAGTCAATAATGGCCACTGACACATGAAAGGCAGTAGAATTTCCTGCTCAGCTGCGGAGTCATAACTCTGCAAAACTCATTATAGCGTAGACACAGTCTTATAGTATGTATTCCTAGTACGCAGTGACCTGTCAGGGTCAATACCATAGTGCTGAGCAGGTTGCGTCTTAGTTGGAGCAGCTGACTGTTACGTTTTTTGTTTAGTTTGGACCAGGTCAATCTTAAGATTTAAAAAAAGGTTAATCTGCCTTAATTTGTTTAACTATATACATATATATAAATTGGTCAAATAAAATAGAATACTTTTAAACCAGCTTCGAACAGGTTTATCTTGAGATTTAAAGAAGGTTCATCTGCCTAAATTTGTTTAATTATATACGTATATATAAATTGTTCAAATAAAATAAAAGTACGTTATGACAGCAATACACTCTATATATGGTACTTCTGTTGTACTTTATTACCCGTATTAGGTTATGATATATATCACTATTCTGAACAATTTTCTCTACTGAGCAATTTTGATTATAGAGATATAGTGTTTTAATGTTGCAATTTCTAAAAAAATTTATTTCATCTATTTGTGATAACAACATTGTTTAGATATATAATGTCAACGAACATTGCTGGATCAGTTAAGATAATTTCTTTATGAAAATTTCTTATATGGAATTACTAATTATTCTTTGTCAAAAAATAGAAAAAATCAGTAATACTTAAATCCATAACATAAGGAAATAGTTATTGTAAGTGCCTCATATTATTTAATTATAGCTGATGACCTTTATGACTATTTCTGTTACTGGTTACTTTCTTAATTATTTCCCTATACATTTTATATTGAAAACACAAAAATATTGAAAAACTCGAATTTTGCCCCTTTTATAAAGAACCCAGGTCTATATTTGTTAGGACTATTTGTCAGGACTGGAATTCAAATATATAATTGAAGTATATAATTGTGCGTTGCATTTGTTTATAAATGCTGTATATATTTATTATGTGCTATTTGTTCAGAAAATAAATTAGTTACT